TCTCTTATTAACTCAGCATGAGAAATCCACAGAATTCTCTCCATTCCCTTCCAATTAGAGATCAGTTTTCACTTACTTCTTTTCTGCTGTCTTTCAGATATCTTTGAAATGTGCCTATTTGTACACAGGCGTTTACAGTTACACAGACAGACACTGAGCAAGGATACCATTAGAAGTCACCTCATCCCGCACCCCCAGTTCTCTGATACGTTCAAAGATAATCACATTTGAAAGTGTGCCATGCTGTCAACATCTTTCTCGTGCCTCTTGGGGTATCTTAAAAGACAAAACTAACCCAAGAGAATCTGAACGATATTCAGAAAGGAAAGAAGGTGCAGTTTTCCATAGCGCTTGTCCTTGCATAGGGGCCCAGGTAAATGTGCCACCACCTCAAGTAAGAAAAAGTTCTAAATTCATCCCATCACTTTAGCTTGGGTGTGATTCAGTGTCAGCCAGGGTGTGCCCCTTTCCTCTAAACCAGGACCAGCTACCCCGAGTCAGACTTTTCCTTCTAAAGGAAGCATTGGGCATGCTAGCCAAAGAAGTGCCACTGACTCCCCATTCAGGGGGCAGGATGCCTCCATCCAAGGAGACACCCATTTCAACTTAGTCTTCCCTTTCTGGTGGGATTCCCCAGGAAGGTTTTGGAAGATTGAGCCTTGGTAGGGCTACTTTCTTCCAAAAATTGGAAAACTGACTCCCATCATTCACAATTTATCCCAGGGTGCATCCTAAACTGCAATCAGTTTAATTCCCAGAATTTGAAAAAGAAGCGTCTAGTTACCCATTGTAATGTTTGTCTGATCCACCTTATATACACTGTTGTAATAGGAGACATGGCCCCCAAATGGAACTCTTAGCTATTGTACCATCTTCTAGTTCGACCCCTTCTATTACAGTATTTACAAGGGGTCTGATTTCCCCTTATGTGCAAGCCCTTCAAACCCTATTCCCTAAGCCAAGCTTATGAAAAAAATAACCAAAAGTGCCTTGTTAAATTTCATGGACTCATGGAGCACCCTAACGTATCTGCACAATCCTTTCCATACTCTTGTCCAAAACCACCGTTCTTGCAATAAGTCAACAGCTCCTCTGTTGACAACTCCTTCTCCCTATCAGAATCCACTCTCCTTTTCAACTAATCTGACCAGGTATTGTCTGAAACCATCAAGATCTGGCTCAAGCACTGAAAAGGAGAAAAAGAGAAGGATACATGGCAGGTCCTATACACGGCAGACGCCATCGCTAGTGCCCTGCCTGCCAGGGGTCCCCCAGAGCAGCCAGCAGCTCTGGGACCAACATTTGCCCAGGCGTCTTCTACTTGCCTCCACTGCCACCAACTAGGACACGCAAACTGAGATTGTCGAACCTCACCTTCTGGACCTTACCCGAGAAAAGTGATTGAATTGTGTATCTTGAAGGAAAACCTTTTTTGTCAGTTTTGTGAAAGTGGCTCTTTGTGTGTGTGTACATCACCACAATGCCATGTGTGCACCCTAGAGGACAGGCCTTTCCAACAACAGTGCACATCTACAGACAGAATCAAAGGTCCCAACACCTGCGGGAGAGCAGTGACACTAGAAGAAACTGCAGGATGAAACATCAGCTTTCTTTGCCATGCAACAGAAACTCCAAATATGTCTTACTGGTTAAAGAGAGAAGGAAAACAGTCACTTTTACAGAAAATAATAATAATAAAGTAACCTGGTTTGCATGGTGACCCTGTGGGCTCCTGTTAATGCTTGCAGGAACACAAGTGGAAGACAGGCACCTGCTCAGCCCCTTCCACAAGGGCCCAGGGCCCCATGGATGGAGTTCCAGGTTCCTGGTCTCCAGCTGGCAGGACCTGAATCTGTCAGCTGGGGAGTGAAGCAGTGAATGGAAAATACTTCTCCCTCTTCTGTCTCTGTCTTTCAAATATTGTTTTTAGAAGAGTGATTTCTCCCAAAATTCTTTCTACACAAGAACACTATAATTTACCTAACATCTACTAGATATCCACAATGCACCAAAAATGTATCATGGTTCCTTTCCATGAATCTCCAACCACCTTCTGAGGTTAAGCAACACCACAGCCACACAGCTAAGAAGCTGCAGGTACAATTCCAAGAGCCAGGCAAGCTGGAGCAAGCTGCTCACCTGCGGCTGCATCTTGGTTTTGCTGTCTGGTATACCGAATTTCCACATTTTCAAGAATCTGAACTAAGTTTTCGTGCCCGTAAATACTTGAGCTAATCTCAGAAACATTAACCATGGCAAAGTACCACACGTGCTTCTGACAAGCTCTGGATAGCTAACAAAATGCATGCACCAAGGGCGGGGATCAGCCCTAGGAATTCGGGTTCCAGTTGTGGTCAAAGTATCTATGGGAATGCGAAATGAAATCACACAGGCACGGCACGAAGGGAAGGTTTTTATCCCATTTAGCTTGTTTGGGCATGGTTTCGTCTCTTGGTTTTCCAGCCAGCAAGCTAGAAAGAAGAGAGGAAAGGGGTGTAATTCTAATCTCTTCCTCTGCAAACGGCTTTCAGAAACAAGCCTTGAGTGCCCAGGCCCGCGGCGCTGACCTGCACTCCAGGGTCGGCCTCCAGCGTGAGGCGAATGCCCATCGGACGCCACCGCTTCCCGCCCCGGCGACATCCCCTCAGGAGCCCCAGGCCCAGGGACAGCCGCTCGCCCCGCGCTAGCCCCCGCGGTGCGGGACGCGATGGAGAGCGGACGATCCACCCGCGGGAGCCCTTACCCAGCTCAACGCCCTGGTTGTGCGCGGACATGGCGCGGGCCGTTCCGGAGCTGCAGCTGGAGGGCGCCACGCGCTTCCTCTTTCCTGCCCGCCCCGCGTCGCCGCTCGCCCCGCCCCCGGTCACCCCGCGCTGCGAGGGAATCCGAGGGAACCCGCCGTCCAGCTACTGCCAGGTCTTCCCTGCGGCTGGGGCACCTTCCACCTGCCCAGCTCCTCCTGTACTCAAAGCACTGCTGGCACCCACGTCTTATTTAGGAATTCTTGGGTCCCAGCCCCGACTCCGCTCCAGACCGCCAGCTCCCCGCACCGTGGCCCGTGATGGCGCCAAGCGCTTGGGTCCCTGTCACCCACGCGGGATTGAGTTCCAGCTCCTGGCTTTGGACTGCCATTCCCGTTGAGTACATTCAGATAATCAACCAGAGGGCTGGAAGTCTTTGTCAGTTAACTTGCCAATTGTCCTTTTCTATGGGAATAGGGCTCCCTAACTTATGTTGTGGGGATCCGGAGCCCTGATACAGGAACTTAGACAGGAAACAGGGCAGTTTTCAAATTCTAAAGCCAGGGCCTACCCTACAGTGCACTGGATCGGGGCAGGAGAAGCAAGGGGTCACTGGTGGTGACTGGCTTGCCTTAGTTCTTTTTTGCTCAGGAAGTAAGGAATTTCACTTCAGAGGTGAAAGTTGGGATACTAGAGCACTCTGAAAGTTCTGTGGGAGGAAAGGGGCCCCCTGCAGGCAAAGCACAGGGCAATTTAAAAAGCTCATCAGGAGAGACTGGACCAGGAGAGGAGCAGATTCTTTCTGGTTTGGGGCTTTTAATCGCTAAAATTGGAGGGGCAAAGAGTGGTGCTATCGCCAAGATGCTCATGATTGGCATTTGTAATTGACTTCTGGGCTCCCTGTGCATGTGGCTGTAAACTACTTTTCCGATTTGGCTGAGCTACCCATTTTATTGGGATAGTTTTGTTTGTTTGTTTGTTTTTAATTGAAAAGGCAGATATACAGAGAGGAGGAGACAGAGAGGAAGCTCTTCCATCCGATGGTTCACTCCCCAAGGGGCCGCAATTGCTAGAGCTGAGCTAATCCGAAGCCAGAAGCCAGGAACCAGGAGCTTCTTCTAGCTCCAACAGTTAAGTCTCTCATATTCCATACTGCAATGGTGGCTGGGAGTCCAGGCTCTGCTCCCAATTCCAACTTGCTACTGTGCACAAAGCAGCAGCGCGTGATGGTTCAGGAGACATTTTTTTATTTTTATTTTTTTAAATAGATCTTATTATTTGTATTGCAAAGTCAGATTTATGGAGAGAATGAGAGACAGATCTTCCATCCGCTGGTTCACTCCACAAATAACTGACTGCAATGGCCAGAACTGAGCCAACCTGAAGATGCAAGATCTGTCTCTCATTCTCTCTCCATAAATCTGACTTTCCAATACAAATAATAAATCCAGGAGCATCTTTCAGGTCTCCCACACGGGTGCAGGGTCCCAAGGCTTTGGGCCGTCCTTGACTATTTTCCCAGGACACAAGCAGGGAGGTGGATGGGAAGTGGAGCAGCCGGGACTCAAAGTGGTGCCCACACAGAACTGCAGCACATGCAAGGTGAGGATTTTCCCAGTAGGATATTGTGCCAGGCCCTGCTCATCTTACTTTTAAGAAAAATTACCCAAGATCACTGACAAGGTCAAACAGCAGAGAAAGAACTAGCAAAATTATTACTCATTAAATAGGAATCTCTGTAAATCACTAGCTTAATATCTCCTCCACATTTAGAAAAATAAATTACAGGTTTACATTTAGTTGATCCAATTTATTAGAAAGCTGACAAAAAAATCTTTTTGAATACAACTAGAAATGAAAAGATGAGGTGAAGTAAATTTTGTTGAAACACTGAAGATTTCCAATTAGTGCATTTTCCTAAGAATTTTAATAGGTTCCTGGGGGAAAGATAGATTTTAGTGCTATTCCTCCTAGCTTCTAATTTTTCCCTCCTTAACACTTGCACGCATCATTTAAATAGTCATTAAAAAAGCAAGTGCAAATTCTTTATCCCACCTTGAAAAGGAAGTGCAGCTCCAACAAGACATGCAAATTTCAAAAACTCAGAATAAGTAACTGAATTTCAAATTGAGAAAGCAATGTTTACTAGACTCTTCAAACTGTCTCTTGCTATGGCTTCATAAAAATGTGCAACAACTTTTAAGCTATTTGTTTATAAAGCTCAAATATATTAGTTTTTCCCCAAAGAAACAAACACTGTTTTGTTTTAGAGCCATTTTATTTAGACAACTAAAAACAATTAGATGTTCCAAAGCAGGTACAAGGAAATCAAACCAGTTACTTTTATCCTGTATTCCCTCCTCTTTACAAGTAAACAAGAAAAAACAAAAGCGTTTCGTTTTAAGGGAAAAGTCAGAAAAATAGGCCAATATATTTGTCTTTTTCATAATAACATAAACAGCTACAGGAAATCTAATTGTAATAAGAGAAATGGTATGTTGGCTTGCACATATTCATTAAAAAGACAACAGGCTGTTGTATGATAAGAGTATAACTCCACCTGCCTCCATCAGCTACTCTTGAGTTTCCACTCACAGGTAACACCAAGTTACTTGTTTCAGCATTCGTATTCCCCATTATTTACTGCTGTGTTTGTCCTAAACAGAGTAACTCTGGAAGGCAGACACTTTTTTCTGCTTGCTCTTCATAGTCCATACATTGTTTATTATCTGTGGTAAATGCTTCATGCTCAGGCCTTAACTTCAGGAGTTGAAGAATAGATGGCATCTGAATTCTCTGTGGTAATTTCTTCTACAATTAAAAACATATCACATCAGTCAGTTTAATAAGCAACTCTACACTTTCGTGTCATAAAACAATGAGGAGTTTTAGAGTAACAACTATGGGGAGGAAGGAGATCAGCGAGCGACTACACATGCCATTAACAACTAGACTCACACCACTGCAAGACCAAGGAAGAACAGGCTCACATTTTTTATCCAGTAGCCTCTTCTACATTCTAACTCCTAAGAGGCCTCTTTTTGGACTAAAGTTTCAATTACTTCAGATATCCAATCAACACCCGAGTAACATCATGTTTAAAAGAGACGGCTCTTTCCTATATCGATTTAAACCTCAACAGTTAATGCTATTCAACATCAAACTTTAAGTTGTTACAAAAAGATGCTGAGTAACGAAGAAAAATTCTTGGTAAATGCTAAGCCCCTTCCCAGCTCCCCATCAATCACCACACCCATGTAGTCATGCCAATCTCTAACCTCCCTTATTTTCATTGTGTATCTAATGAACTTAACAAATTCAATCAATTCTAACAGACTCTCCAGTCATAAACCTTTTCCTGTTTTCAGGTTGGTCCCCTTTTCTAAACCAGAGACTACAATCATATCTATCTGGCCTTATCATTACTCGTCATCAGTCCCATTCTTTCTCCATACTTTCAGTCAAATAATCTTTCAAAAGCTAAACCTCAGCGCACTAATCATCATTACTCTTAAAACCTAAGGATGCTCACTGTTAAGTGTAAAACTCTTGAACCCGGCAGCTGAGGCCCTGAGGGATGGCGGCTCACTGCGGCCCTGCTCTCAGGCTGCGGACACTGAGGTTCTGCTAGCTCCTCCTGCAGTGTCCCCTTCTACTTCCCAGCGTTTGTTTCCTTTCACGCCCCACCATCTGGCTCACACTTGGGTCATTTGTTCAGTCACTCTTGCTCTTCCTCAGGACTCCACTGAAATGTTCCTGGACGCTTCCTCCTACTGCCCCCCAGGTTAGACTCGTAAGTTCTGGAAGAGTAACCGCATCGGTAATGCTCACACTGTACCTCAGTGCCTACTACTATGCAATAGGAATTTAAAACTTCAGTTTATAAATATGTAAATACAACATATAAACCTTCCATCAATAAATACTTCTCTATTTGGATTTAGCATTTCTTTTTCCACTGAGAACATAACATGATTAACCGTGACAGTGGTCAGTTCTAACATCAGTGTTTACCTAGCTCCTCTTCCGCTGTCTCTGGGAAATTGATCTTGGGCTTGGCCAACTCTCCACCGTCGTCTTCTATGGGAAGAAAAGCAACGATGACCGACAACGCAAAGCACAGTATCTCAAGTCATTTCCAGTATTTAATAAGCAAGCAATGAGTTACAAAATACGACAGGAACAACTCCTTTTTAAATAACTGATTCTACAATAGTATATATCTTTTCTCAAAGATTATTTAGACATTATTCATTCTATTCACCAAATAAGCTGGTGTAAAGAATTAAGGAACAAGAGACTGTACAACAAAAAATTTTAAGTAAACAAAAGAACAATTTTCAATTTATAATGATGGACTTCTCTTTGCTTAACGCATACTGTATAATTTAAAATTCATAAAAATGAGAAACATTTAAATAGAATGAGTGATGAAAATCACCACAAAAGCACTGACAACTGAATGAAAATTCTTACCAGGAAGCACACATTTCCAAAGGCCGTATGTTTTTCCTACTACAGTTTGCCACAGCCTCAGTGTTCCATCTTCAGAGCCACTGGCATAAAGCTCTCCATCAGGACTAAATCTCACACAGTGAATAGGACCAAAGTGTCCTTTGTAGGATTCTGAGAAAGAACAGAAAGGCAATTAAATAGTATTATGTGAGAGATGCAAAAATCTTAAGGCCAAATGCTAAGAATTTCACCTATTTAGAAACAAACCCCATCACAAAGCATACACGATGCCTACCATTCTCCCCAGGATCGCCCTGTGCCAAATCTAGCACACATCATAGTTTCAGAATGTATCTCTAAAACAGAAAATGGGTCTTCATACTCCATTAAGGATAAAAAGAAGGGAAACCAAAGTCCCAAAACCTCTTAAAACAAAGAAAAAATGGAGCTTCAGAACCATTAAATCTCAACTTCCATATCTTAAACTCACCACCCACTAACCAGGGAATCAAGTTCATTCTAAGCACAGAGACCACCAGATGGAGCTCTTTTACACACGGTCCCTCTAATTTCCTTCCTAACTTGCTTTCTACAGACCAATAATCATTTTGTCACACAAAATACTGATATAGGATCACACTTATCCTTAAACATTTTAATCTGCAGAACCCAATGTAAAAACAATGGAGATTAGAAATACTATTCTATGAGTCCCACCCTTACTTAGGAACCATTCTCATTCACTCGGTAAACGCCCTTGCTCCACACTGTTCAACCAGAGAGCAGAAGAGCTACAGTAACAGAACACGGGGATACAAAAAGACAATGGTTGGGTCCAAGGTCCAATATTTGCTAACTATGACCTCCATTCTCAAATAACTGAGTTCTTTCATCTTGAAAAGCAATGAAACACACGACTGCAAGATTCTAAAAACTGAAAATTGCCACTATGTTAGAAAATGGAAAAGAATCTCTTAAAGTTCATTGACATTTAAGCAATAAAGGATGAATCATAAGCAATTTGAAAAGATTCCACATGCTCCATTTCCCAAAGCTCCTTGTACAAATGAAATCCACCAGCTTTCCCAAACAAAAGGTAAAATTCTCTTCTTTGGATATAAATTAGCAAGCTTAATTATTTAGGAGGTAAAGTGAAACAGCTAGAAGCAGAAGAACAAAAAAGCTGCAGCTTACATACCAAAAAATTATGAAACTTACACTTTCTAAACTACAAGCAAAAACAAGTCGAAAAACTGGATACTGAGAACCATAATTTCCATCAGATAAACGTAAAGCTAGGATATACACTAGCTTCATGTTAATCCTTCCGCAGACATTTCCACGTTAAGAACCACTGTAAGAGTAGTCACAAACCTTCCCCTGCTGGGCTGGCGCTGTGGTGACTGCAGGGAGAACAGCCACCAGCAGTGTGCACATGCTGAATGAGCACTGGCTCACAGCCCAGCTCTCCACGTCCCATCCAGCTCCCTGCTAATGGCCTGGGAAGGCAGTGCAGGACAGCCCGCGTCATGGACCCTTGCATGGGAACCCTGAAACAGTCTCTTGGGTCTTGGCTCCAGAAGGGCCCAGCCCTGACGGCTGCAGTGACCCAGAGTGTCCCCTCCTCTCCCTGTAATTCTGCCTTTAAATTAATCTTTTTAAAGGCCTCCAAGAACAAAACTTTCCAATTCAGATTCTTAAAGGCATCCCTATAGCATGCTATGCAGCACCCTCTCCACTGTACTCTACAGAATCTTAGGGATTACAAGCTGGCAAAAAGAGCAGAGGAGGATTGCTGGGATTACAGCCGTCCCAAACTTAGAACAGCTTTCCTTGCATCTGTTAAACACATGACTGTGATGTCAGACTGCCCAACTCCAGAGAACAGCACGCGGCTGCCTTTCAGTTAAAAGAAAAACCTTCAACTCAGCATGTTTTTGTTTATAGGTCTATAAAAATTCCTATCCAAAATGGAAAAATAAATTTCACTTGTAAGCGTCAAGCTTTAGTTGGCTGAAAAACATACAACATGGTCTGTACACAAATGAGGTATTATTAGAACAGGTGACAAAGTGGAGTGGAAAAGGGAGGGTAACTTACCTAACTCTTCTCCACTATTATAATCATACTTATAAAGTTTAAAATCTTCACCACCTGCAACAAGAAATTCTTTCTCACGATGAAGAGATGCAGAATTGATAGTTGCAGGAGCTTCGAAGGATTTAATTGGGTCCAAACTAGAAAAATATATTCAAATAATATTTACAAATATTCTATATAAGTAACACGAAGATATAAGTACATCTAAACAGTTTCTAAATTCTGAAACCCAAGGATCAAGTAAATACTAAAACACAGTAAAGTGGGCACAGTGCAATAGCCTAGCAGTTAAAGTCCTCGCCTTGCTCGCAACCATTTGGAGGCTGGTTCCTGTGCCAGTGGCCCTGCTTGCCATCTAGCTCTCTGCCTGTGGCCTGGGAAAGCTGTAGAAGATGGCCCAAAGCCTTGGAACCCTGTACCTGTGTGGGAGACCCGGAAGAGGCTCAAGGCTCCTGGATTTGGATCAATGCAGCTGCAGCCGTTGTGGCCACTTAAGGGGTGAATCATAGGACAGAGGATCTTCCTCTTTGTCTCTCCTCCTCTCTGTATATGTGCCTTTCCAATAAACATAAATCTTAATAAACCAAGCAAACAAACAAAAAACACCACAGTAACGTTATGGGGAAAAAAAAAGGGAAGAACACCCACTAACCAGGGCCTGGCACTACGGCACAGTGGGTCAGGCCACCGCTTGCGAAGGCTTTCTTCACTGCCACGCAGGCTAGTCCCAGCTGCTCTGCTCCGGCTTCCTGCCAATCCACCTGCAGTGATAAGATCATCTGGTGCACTCCTGAGCACTGGGGCCTGCTGCTGGGCGTGACCGGGATGGAGCTCCTGGCTGCAAACTTCAGGCTGGCCCAGCAATGCTGCTGCGGCCGAGACCTCTATCACTCTGCCACAACCCCCCCTCTACCTTTCAAATAAATAAACCAAAAGTCTTCGTATTATTAGGAAAAGAGAGGTTCAGAAGGCTCCCGTGCCAAACTGGAGTTCATCTCGGCAGGAAGACATCTCAGAGGACAGCCACACCTGTGCAGGTGATGCCATCCTGCAAATGAGGCTCTCTGCTATTTCACTGCACTGCTTGACTTTTCCACAACAGGCACACGTGACTTCTAACATAGTTAGGTTATTGTCAACTGTGATGGTTCAGGTTACTACAACAAGAAAAATATACAAAGGATCCTGTGAAAAGCAGCTGTATTATTAGGTCATGAAAGAATGACTAAAATTTAAGACTACTGTCATTTAATAAAAAAACAAAATCAATGTGTGGCAACAGCGGCAGCGGAAAAATCAATTACAATTTGGACACTGGCCCTTTTTCAGGTCAACTGTCACTTGCTTGTTCAATTGTTAAGTTACTGAATAGGGAGTGCGTGTTGCGGAGCAAGGGTTAAAGCACGGGTTATATTACCTGTCCATAACCCACTCGTCAGCCCCATTTCCTACCCTGGCATCCCCACTGCCAATCCAGCTTCCTGCTAATGCACTCCAGGAGGCACTAAGAGACAGCCTGAATGATTGGGCCCCTGCCACCCTTGTGGGAGATCCAGATTGAACAATGGACTCCCAGGATCAGCCTGGCCCAGCTCCGGTTATCTTGAGTATTTGAGGAAGGAATCAGCAGACCAAGGATGTCTGTGTCTTTCTCTTGTGTTCTTGTTCTGCCTTACAAAGAAAAGAAAATAACTGAGCTAAAAGAAAAAAAGCTATGCAACAGGTCAGCAAACCTCTACCACTAAAACGGGATCCGGAACAACACCCTCAAGCAGAGAACAATATACAGTCCGACTGGCCGGGCCAGCACTACCGCCATCACTTCTTAGTGAGCGCATACTCTCCTTTATGCTGTGAGCTAGTTTTCTTCTATTTTTTTCCCCTTTCTTCTATTAAGTGAAACTTAGCACTACAAATGTCACTGCAGTGAAAAACATCAAACTGCAGTCTCCCTCTCTGTGTATACCTTTCCAATAAAAATAAATAAATCTCTCTACAAGAACATTTACTGTGTTTCTATTCATAAAGTCTGGGTTTTGTTCTTCTGAAAAAATATTTATTTATTTGAAAGGCACAGTTACAGACAGACAGATTTTTCTATCTTCTGGCTCACTCCTCATTTGGTCCCAGTGCTGGGCCAGGCCAGGACAGGCCAGAGCCAAGAGCCTCACCTGGGTCATCTACATGGGTGAGGGTGATCGAGGCCTGGGCCATCTTCCATTGGCTTTCCAGGAGCATTAGCAGGGAGTCAGGACACAAACCAGCAGCTGTATGGGATTTTATGCCTGCACACTGGCCCAGATTCTGTTTTTTTAAAAGAGGCCTGTGTATATTTGGGAATACAGGCAGAAAAATCACTATTTCCCTAACAAAGATTACCGTAGTTTTAAAAGTATTACCAGCATCAATCCAGTGGTTCTTTTAAGGAAAACTACTTAAACGTTGCTGAATTTTGTTACCCTCATCACTCAAGGTGTCCTTGGACTTACCTTACTGCACTATGAAAAGCAATAGATCGTCCATAAGTTATAACCAAGATCTCTCCTTCAGGAATATACTCCATACTACTAACAGACATATTAAAATTTAGAGATTTCACTTCTGTCATAGTAGCATGATCCCAAAGGCTGCAAAAGGAAAATACAATATGGTGTTACTTATTCACATAAAAAAGCTTCAGTTTTAATTACACCTGCAGATAGACCAAGGAAAGAATTATCCTATACAAACTCAGATTAACTGGGAGCTTGCGATGGGCACCGAACTATTTAACAGCAAACAACTTGACACAACTATGTCATTCATAGACTGAAGTCCACATATCACCTACTCAGCCCCGACACTGACCTCCACGCTGCTCTTGTGACTGATGGCAGCCACTTCCCTTCCCACAGCAAAACACAGGAGCGAGTCTGCTCACATTTGGCATTCAATCTCAGTGGCTTCACCGACTCCCCTCCTCACTGGCCTGGAGCTAACATGTCTTATAGATGCAGATTAAAAACTCTGCTGGTAAAGCTTTCAATAGTTTTAATTAAAGTTCTTCTGAATTCTGCTCTAGCTATGCAATGATAAATTGGCAGTTTCAAATAAACACGACCTATGTGAAATTTAAAGTTCAAATAATTTAACCTATAGAAGTTATAAATGGCATTCAAAATATATAAGCCCGTAAAAAAAAGGGAGGAAGAAAAAAAAGAAAAAGAAGAAACCCCAAAGCCAAAATAAATAAAAATAAAAATATAAGCTCTGGGGATGGCACCATGGCTCAACAGGCTAGTCCTCCACCCTATGGTGTCAGCATCCAATACAGGCACTAGTTCATGTCCAATTCAGCTTCCTGCTTACGGATTGAGAAGGCACATCCACATGGGAGGCCTACAGGAGACTTCTGGCTCCTGGCTTCAGATCAGTTCAGCTTGGCCATTGTGGCCATTCAGAGAGCAAAACAGCTGAAGGAAGAGACCCCTCTCTCCTCTCTCTCTATAAAATCTCCTTTTCAAGCAAAAAATAAATAAATATCTAAAATATACACACATCATCTATGTGCTAATATTTTCAAACTTTACAAAGCCTACTTGGGGGTAGACGAGAGGAATCCCAGGCCCCATGGAATTGTACCATAAAATTCAAAATATAACATAATATAATATAATATAAAAAAACTATGATACTGGATCTAAAGGGAGGCAACACAGTCATAATGGGGAGCTTCAACACTCCAATTTCAACAATGGACAGATCATCTGGACATAAAAAGTAAATAAATAAATACATAAAATAAAGACATGACCCAGCCAACCCACACTATTGGCCACACAGATCTAACTCGTATCTGGAGAATAGTTCACCCCACAGCTGCAGAATACACAGTCTTTTCATCAGTGCCTGGTGCCTGGACCACCGTTAAGGATAAACCATATGCTAAGCCACAAACAAGTGTCAACAAATTAAAAAAAAAAAAGTTAAAATCATCCTCATTCTTTTTCAGATCATATGGAATGAAGCTGGAAATTAACAATTTTTAAAATTCCAGAAAATACACAGACATGTGATGACTGAAAAGCATGTTCCTAAATGAGCAGCGGCTCACAAAAAGTAACCATAAGAGAAAGTTAAAAATTGCCAGAAATAATGAAGGTAGCAATACAACATATTCAAAAGTTACAGAATACAGCAAGCAGGGTTGGAAGGAAGAAGTTTGGAACAATCAGTGTCTACATCAAAAAATCTGAAACACTCTAAATTAAAAGGAGAGAATAAAAATTAGAGATTAAATTAAAAAAACTGAAATAGAAAAATTTACACAGAGCAGTGAAATAAAGAGCTGAACTTCCTGGGGAGGAGGGAAAAAAGGATGGATTTGGGCCTGGCATGGTAGCCTAATGGCTAAAGTCCTCGTCTCACACACACCAGGCTCCTATATGGGCACAGGTTTTAATCCTGGCTGCTCCACTTTCCAACCAGCTCCCTGCGTGTGGCCTGGGAAAGCAGTCAAGGACGGCCCAAGGTCTTGGGACCCTGCACCTACGTGGGAGACCCAGAAGAGGCTTCTGGCTCCTGCCTTCATATCGGCTCAGCTCCGGTTGTTGCGGCTGCTTGGGGAGTGAGTTGGTATACAGAAGATCTCTCTCTGTATGTCTGCCTTTCCAATAAAAATACATAAATCTTATATATATATATATACATATCCTACTTACCGAACAGTTTTATCATCAGCTGAAAGAATCTGTTTATCCTCACTGCACCACAAAGCCTTTTTAATACCAGAAGTGTGACCACTGATTTCCTTAGGTTCTTATGAAAAAAATGTAAAACATTTGTTAGTACTGGATTTTTAAAACCAAGCCAATTTAGGTAATAATAAAAAAGAAATGCATTTTTATTGTCAGACTACAACTTTTCAAAACCAAGGCCATAAGAAATTAATTTAGCTTTTCTATAGTGGTTCAACATTGCAACAAATTCACCTGTACAACAAAGAATCCAAAAACAACAATGCAGGGCTGGCAAAGCGGCACAACAGGCTAAGCACCAGCATCCTACAGAGGGGCCAGTTCCTGTCCCAGATGCTCCAGTTAGAAAAATTTAATATATCAACTACTATATAACAGGCAAGGCAAAATTCCATTTATTATGTCTTGGTAACCTTAAACTACACTCGTACTTATGGCTGGGAAATCATTTAACAACAATGGAGGTGACTCCCACACGGAATTCATGGAGGACATGATAGCTCCTGTCGCCAAAATTTAAAAACTGTGCACGCCTATTCATATACCAAACTTTCTTATTGAAATTTAAAACCAAATGACTAACTAGGATGCAACACAGAACCTTCAAAAGCCAGTTAGAGCTCTTTCCCTCTCTCTATAACTGTTCTGCAAACAAATCCTAAAAAACAAACAAACAAACAAAAAAACCCAAAAACAAAAAAGAAACAACCGATCTTTCATCTGCTGGTTCACTCTCCAAATGGCCACAACTGCTGGAGCTGGACCGAGCAGAGCCAGGAGCTTCCTCCAGGCCTCCCACGTGGGTGCCGGAGCCCAGGGCTCTGAGAGCCTCTGCTGCTTTCCCAGGCGATAAGCAGGAAGCTCAATCAGAAGTAAAGCAGCTGAAACACAAACCAGCGGCCATCTGGATGTTGATGCTGGCCTCAAACAAATCTTAAGGGCAAAAAAAGGACTGGCACCGTGGTATGGTGTGGTGTGCTAAGCCACCGCCAGATAGACCAGGACATCATGAGCACTGAGCTGTTGTTTCTAACCCAGCGTGCTACTACTGTGCCTGGGAAAGCAGTTTCAGATGGCCCCAGTAACCGTGTGGGACATCAAGATGCAGCTCCGAGCTCCTGGCTTCAGTACCCACAGGGGAAGTGAGCCAGCAAATAGATTTCTCTCCTTCCCTCGATCTCACTGAATTTCAAATTAACACACCTTCTGTTTTCTTTACACTTATTTTTATATAAATATTAACTTTTACAGATAGGGAGAGAGAGAGGGAAGGTCATCCACCCGCTGGTTCACTCCCCAAATGGCCACAAGAGCTGGAGCTGAGCTGAGCTGACGTCAGAAGCCAGGCATTTCTGCCCGGTCTCCCTCATCAGCACAGGATCCCAACAACTTGGGCCATCCTCCGATCCTTTCCCAGGCCATAAGCAGGAAGCTGGACTGGAGAAGTCAGAACACAAATCAGCACCTATCAGCTTGCTGCACCACTACAGGGCTCCACAAATAAGTATTTCTGTTTGAGAGAACAAAAGCCTATCTTGGAGACCAATGCCGCGGACCCAGCCTCTGCCTGTGATGCCAGCACCACCTATGGACGTCGACTTGTGCTTCGGTTGCCCCACTTCTGTTAATGACCTGGGAACCAGCAGAAAATGGTCTAAGTTCATGGGCCCCTGTACTCAAGTGAAAGACCAAGCTTTGATCGGCTCAGCTCCAGCCATTGCAGCCATGTGGGAAATAAACCAGCAGATGGAAGGTACTTCTCTGTATCTACTCTCTATAAATCTGCCTTAAAATAAATGGAAAGAAAACTACGAATAGTGATTGAAATTGGACTACAGAATAAGTTTTGTTTCTTTTGACTATTATCCAAATTTTAGTTTTTAAATCAAAGTCATTTACATTAAAAGGAATAAAACTACAAACTTATACATAATTATGCTTACCTGCTTCAGGTTTGTTCAAATCATATATGCGTAACAGTTTATCCTGTCCACCAGTTAACAAATAATTACTATCCTGAAAAGCAAATGACCCATTTAAGAACATTTACCTGAAAGTTCCTCAATGCCAAACAAAGTCAGAGAGCTCACAACAGACATCAACAAGAGATGCGACACACCAGCAGTGACTCCTGAGACAACACTGCACAACAGCTGCCGTTCTTGAGCCTGTCCAACCCCTTAGGCTTCCCAGCCCAAATGGTTTACATTAAACCACCTTCCACCTGAATTCCTTCACTCTGTCCCTCCTAAACAGCCTTTTGCAGGGATTTCAAACGTACCTTTTCGCTTAGAAGGCAGTTGGGAAACACTATTCATGCTTTCTAGGTATTTGCTGATTTAAGGAACAGAACCAGTGTTCAGGGAAATCTTTAACGCCAGACAGGACTAACTCAAAAGTAAGTTTGTGTGACTTCAAATAAGAACCAATATACACAAATCATCCCACCAAAATCAATCAATAAAATAAAATATTGTAATAGCAGCTTAACCACACACACACACACACACAGTGTCCCAGGGGGACACTGCGGCCCACGTGGGTTAAGCTGTAATCTGTGATGCTGGCATCCCATGGCATCCCATGGGGAGTGCCAGTTCAGAGTCCCAACTGTCCTGCTTCCAACCCAGTCTTCCGCTACACCCAGGAGAACAGCAGACAATGCTGCTGCGCCCCAGCCACCCACACGGAGGACCTTGAACTTCCACTCACTTGGACAGTCGACCAGCAAGGGGAAGAGCTGTCAGTTTGCCTTTCAAATAAATAAATAAATAAATCTTTTTAAAAAGTAAATAAAGCAAACTTCATTTTCTGATACCTGTGTGAAATCCACAGTCTTGACAATGTGTTTATGTGCCAGGGTCACCAATTCATCTCCTGAAACAGCATCCCACACTTTGCTGAAAGTAAAAACAAACAGAAGTGACTACTGCTACTCATATATATATGTGTATATGTAATATATATACACACACTCAATAGCTTTGATATCAAAATTTTTTATATAACAAAATTATATATGAAATTTCACACAAATGCATTATCTTTTGTTTCTAACATCCCTCCACTGTTAGACTTAATTTGATAAAATATTTCCAGTTGATACGACTCAACCAACCCACTTACTTTTGCCTACAGCCACACTATCCCTTTTAGTGACACTGTATACTACTAATTTGATTTTATGATGTCAATTTTCTCTATTCTGTACTCACATGCATACTAAAAAATCATTAAAAAAGATTACAGAATGAAAGAGCTTGTTACAAGTCACAAGAAATCTATCAGTTTTTCATTATGCATTGCATATTAGGGAAGTTACAGTTAAATACTTCATAAAAGTGCTTCAAAGGATTTCCTAAATAAGTGTAAAGGAAAAAAGGTTAATGAAAAATGAGAAAATTACAAAGAAAAGAAAAGAGCAAAGAAATTACCTATCACCAAAATTTCAACAGAAGTGATATTTATTTGTATTGATAACTACAGTAGAGTTGGGGCTGGAATTGCTAAGCCACCCCTTGTGATCCCAGCATCCCATATGGGTGCTGCTTCATGCCACAGATGCTCCACTTTTTTTGAAACTCCCTACTCACTGTTGAAAGAAAAAATCAGTATGACAAAGAAATACGAGGCAGAGAACAGTGTTTCATCGCATCTAGAAACAAAACTCAAGCAGAGGCACAGCATTCTGACGGAGCACACTCTAGACAGCTGTCCCAACTCGAGCATAGTTCATTACTCCCAGGAAGATCCTAGAGAGGGCTGAGCCTTAAAATCAAAATGCAAATGCTTCTGTTGCATTATTTTCACCTCGAGGCAAGCAGCTGACATAAACTAGCTGGCCACAGGGTTCAACTGAGGACAGCGAAGCCCACTGGCAGAACTTAATCCTGCAGCACGTACTTTCTGTATAATGTGTCTGTTTTTCACATATAATAGTCAATGCTGCCTACTCTATTCCTTTTATAAGCTGAAAACAGACTTCCCCAAGTCTCAAAAGGGAAGTTTAATTTACTTATTTAAGCTTTGATAAGACAATTAAGCTATCAGATGGGGAAAAAACTGCCTAAGTACCTTAGAGGACTCAATGCCATCTAAGATTTATTAAAGCTCGTATTCAGGAAGACTCAGATTTCTTTATATTGGCTCTTACAAGAAATATACTTTAATTATTGCCCTAACCCACAGCTTTGGTTGGGGTTTATTCTGGCTCCAGGTCTGGAAGTCTACAAGTGCCAAATCCGGCTCACCTTCTGGGCCTTGTGCTGTGTCCTAGCACAGCAAAGAAGCGACACGGGCACAGAACAGACCCAGGGAAGTGCCAAGCTTGCTGTGCAGCAGCCCAGTCTCCACACAGGGAATGATCCCCACAAAAGCTCATCCAATCTGGACCATATTATTCCTGAAGGTTTCCAGAACATTTCACTGGGATTCAGGCTTCAACATGAGTTCTGACGGGGATAAACTGTATTCAACACTAAGAGTCACCCACTGACATCTAGGCCCAAGTCCTGATCTACACACTCACTCTCCAAGATGAGCACGGTGACAACAAAGTAGAGAAACCTAGGAAAGGATCATGTGAAGCCAGGTAAATATTTTATAGGAGAAGAGGATTGTTTAACGCCTTAAAGGGCCAGTTTTGTGGCACAGGTGGGTAAGGCTACCACACATGGGACCAGTATCCTATAGGGACTCTGGTTCATGACCCAGATGCTCCACTTCCAACCCAGCTCTCTGCTAATGGCCTGGGAAAACAGAAGATGGTCCAGGTGCTTGCGCACCTGCAACCTTGCCAGAGAGGCAGACAAAGCTCCAGGCTTTGGATGGGCCCACTCTGGCTGGTGTAGCCATCTGGGGAGTGAATCAGCAGTTGGAAGATCTCTCCCCCTATCTTTCCATATAATTCTTTCAAAACACGTTTTTATTAAAGATTTGTTTATTTTTATTGGAAAGGAAAATTTACAGAGAAAAAAATTTCTATCCGTTGGTTTACTCCCCAACTGGTCACAACAGCTGGAGCTGAGCCAATCTGAAGCCAATACCCAAAAGGTTCTTTCAGGTCTCCCACACGGGTGAAGGGTCCCAAGGCTTTGGGCCACGCTCTACCACTTTTCCAGGACATAAGCAGGGAGCTGGAAGTGGAGCAGCCAGGACATGAACCAGCACCCACATAGGATCTCAGTGCTTGCAATGCAAGGATTTAGCCACTGAATCATGCCAGGCTTCAGCACAAAAATGAAGACTATTCTGAAGATTTGGTTACATATTTGAAGCGATGAATTTTCTCACACTCTCCTCTGTTACTGTTTCAAAGTTAACCATCATAGAAACAGAAATCTCTGCACAGTGCTCCTTTCCTTCTTTCCCAAGGTTAACAGCACAATCTGGGCAAGTGTACGATGTAAGAGTTCACACTCTGCATCCAGACCTGACTCCTTCCCAACAGCTGCAGAGTTCTGTGGAGCAAGGTTACGATTTTACCAACCCAGAGGAGACGTAACGAGCACTGCTAGGGCTGGAGGACAACAGACTTAAATTAATTCTAAAAACACACTTAAGACAGGCACTCAGCCTGGTGCTTAAGACAAACCTTGGGCTACCCACAATTCCACACCAAAGGCTTGCATTCCAGCTCCCAATTGTAGTTTCCTGCTGATGTACCTGGTGGGTCTGACTATCACCCTGTTTTTTTTTAACACTCATATCCATACTGTTGTGAGCAGCACTGTAATCCATTTATAACTTAATCATATTTCATTCAAAATATCATTTAACTATTAACTCTTCACAAACTTGGATCTAATGATCATAGCAAAATTTCTGAAATCTGCTTATCACATTTGTTCTTACTGATCTTTTAGCACCCCAAATTTAGTCTCATGTAGCATAATGGCTTGATTGGCTACTCCTCCTCTCCCAAGCACCAGAATCCCATGTGAGTGCTGGTTCCTGTTACAGCCACTCCATTTCCCACCCAGTTCCCTGCTTGTGGCCAGGGAAAGCAGCAAAGGATGACCCAAAGTCTTGGGACCCTGCAGCGACGTGGGAGAGCCAGAAGATGCTCCTGGCTTTGGATGGGCTCAGCTCTGGCCATTGCAGCCATTTGGGGAGTGAACCAGCAGATGGCTCTCTGCCTCTTCTTCCTGGTAAATCTTCCTTTTCAATAAAACCAAAAACATCTTTTAAAGTATATATAAAAATTTATTCATTCAATGACATACAATGTGAGTTTGAAAAAGTGCAAGCCATAGATGTATCTACAACTATAGATAAGTCAGTTTCATTTGTTCATAGTAACCTTGACAATATATTTTTGAGAATTGTTCCTAAGCATAAAACTCTTAAAAAAAAAAAAAAAAAACCTACCTCAAGGATCGCTCTCTTAAGACTAATAAAGCGTAAGTACACAGGGCAGCACCTGGCACTGTCCCCACTAGTTTCAACACTGAGACAGACATTAGCAAAGGAAAACTCTGGGACTCCATCCCCGAAGCAACCAAGCAGCAATCTTCACATCACTCACATGTGGGAATTTCTTTAAACTCTCCACTTATTTTAAAATAAACCCATGACTGTGAATGGCAAAGACACATGGGTCAGCATGTGGAGAAGCGACATGATGAACCCTGCTTCTCAAGTGGGAAGAGACCGGGGTGTTAGGGGAAATGAAGATCCTGAGTCAAAGCAAGATACACAGAGGAACACCGTAATCACGGGACGTTGGGCTGGTAGTCAGGAAAGGCCAAAACGTGGATCCAACGATTAAAAACAAAAAAAAATCAAGAATGATTTGAACTATTAAGAAAAAAAATCTCAGAAAACACAGAATACCTGGAACAGAAAGAGTTTTAAATCACCTGAAGTGAATTTAACAGAAACTGAGGAGGAGATAAAACGCTGGGAGTTTTCAAGGAACGCAGATGCAACAGTGTCAGTAAAGGAGACGCCACCCTAGGTGGAGTACCTGTCGGGTCACAATCCAGATGGAAGGGGTAAGTCCCCTGAGTGTCTCCTCACCATGAGAACCCTGAAGACAGGGTACACAGGTCTGTGACAGACTCCTGAGGACATCAACCACCACGTGTTCTGCATAAGAACTCCGGGAGGACCTGAGGCTCAAATGTTGCACTATGTCAGAACCCCCGGTGCGGGGCCCAGGTCGGCTGGATTTGGGCTACACACTTACGCTGTGAAATCCGCAGCGGCTGTGGCTGCTTTGGTGGCATCCTTATTCAACGTTGCACCCCAGACAGCACCTTTGTGACCCAAAAATGTTCCAATCCAGTCTCCGGTATCTCCTTGGCGTAGCATAGGTTTACCATCTAGAAAAATATTGTCAAGCACACGGGATTTTTATTAGTTCAAGTTACTTAAAGAGTGTTTCTGCTGACTGGCAAAGTGGAAAACTGTTTTTGTTGTTGGCCAAACACTTCCTGGGGCCACCATGAAAACAATCACAAATAGAGTAACAGGGAGAGCTGACTCGGATATCTTAAGCTCAGGAAGCTCGTGTGAATGGGTGGGAATACCCATTTCCAGCCAAAGAATCCAGAAGCGAGGCTTACCTCTGGACAAACTTCTGAACCTATCCTTGAGGTTCCTGCTTGGGGCGGGGGGGGGGGGGGGGGGGGGGGAAGAGTGGGGAAACAAAATGGGGCCAAAACGACCAAGCGGTGACTCGGACTCGAACTGGCCTCATTTCTCCGTTCCCTGAAATCTTTCGGCGTTGTTGTCCTGGCAGGTGCACCCTAGCTTCTCCGGGGTCGGGGAGGGGGGTGCGGGAGGAAGGGTGAGCACTGTGCCACCTCCAGAGATGCCGTCCCCAACGCTCCTCCTCTGCCCGCCCAGGCCACGGTGGGGCCTTGCCATCCCCCAGCACCGCCGATCGCTCGGGAGGTGCCCGGGCAGGGTGCAGGGTACCGGGTGCAGGGAGACCCCCGACACACACCACACACACACACTCCCTTCTCATCCTGCCCCGACCCCATCTAATCGGCCCCGCTCACCTTTGCAAGCGCTGATTAAGAAATAGCCATAAGGCGTGATGCCGCTGAAGGCCAGATCCACCACGGGCCGCGTGTGGCCCGAGCAGGTGAGCGGCGTCTGCCTCATGGCCATGGCGGCGGCGGGGTCGCGGGGCTGGGCTGGAGGGTCGTCCTTGTCTTGTCCGGCTCCGCAAGGCACCCCCTCGCTCGCCCCGACACACGGAGGCCGGGGGCCGGGGAACGGGAATGAGGCACCGCGGTCAGGAAGGGGTGAGGGAGAGATCGGAAAGCCTGCGACGGCTGCCGAGGCCGGGACAGGGACGGAGGGAGGAGAGCAGGGCCCGGGGGAAGGACCGGACAGCCGGCCCCGCCGACGCCGCCGCGATCCGCACCGTCCACCCCGGTGCGGGCAGGAAGTGACGACGCCAAGGACGCAGGGCGTCCCGCCGGACGTGACGTCGCCTTGCGCAGGAGCGCGGAGGGTCGGGGTGCGCAGGCGCGGGCGCGCTGCACCTTGTTCACGTGATGCCGGCGTTTGGGCGCTGGGAGCGAGGGGTGCTGGGGGACCGGGGGCCGGGGTCGGGTGATGTCGGTGCCCCGTTCTAACATCCCGGCCGCGCTGGCCGGGCCTCTTCAGGTCCTCGGGATCCCCAGGGAGTCGTCTTATTGGTTCATGTTGTGAACACGTCCACAGAAACCCGAGCCGCTCCCAGGGGTGGCCCAAAGCCGGCTGAGACCTTTCACAATCTGTTTTTGTTTTTGTTGGTTTTTTCATTTTTCTTTTTCAAGCGTCCATAGGTTTATCTCGCCCCGGGATCGTTTCCAAGTAAGACCCTTAAAGTAGCATCTGCAGCCAGCCCCTCTGCTGTGTAGCTTTCCTTTATTGCTGGATTTTAGAAATGAATGCTATGTGGCTGCAATAAGCACTTACATTCAAGTTCTTTTCTGCCCACGCCCCCAGTATTTTTAATAAAATATTTTCCATTGATAAAGTTTGAGTCTGCGCTGCCAGTAGATGGATAATTTGAAACTTACACACATTCACATAAAACAAGCAAAAATAGAAATATTAGGATATTCCGTAAAATTACATATAAATGGAAATGCTGGCTTTATCCTCCAGCAGGTGGCCCACTGAGTAGTTCAGTGCCAGGGTTATGAGTTTGCCATTTGACTTGAGTGCCACACTCTGAGTGACATTTAGTCAATGTTCAGCAAAGGATCCTTTACTAGTTAAATAATTGCTACACTATTGCTGCAGGTAAGTAAGTAAAAAGACTCAACAGACTACTAAGTGAAATAGTTGACAGTATTTATTCATTGCTCACTGCAGGTAACACTAGCTAATGATAACATCTCCTTTGTAAAGAATGTCTCATATATGCACCCCTGTTCACATGTGCAATATTGCGGCCACGACCAATTGTGTGTGTTTCCAGGTCACTATAATATCAGAAGACATAAATACAGTGAATATAAATAACCATATGGAAAGAAAAAGAGATGTGTGGCTTTTGATATAGGTGTTCGTTCTTGATCAGCAATAGAAAAAAATATTTAAAGATTTATTTTGATTGGAATTTACAGAGAGGAGCGACAAAAAGATCTACTACATTTACTAGGGTCACTCTCAAAATGGCTGCAACAGCTGGAACTGAGCTGATCCAAAGCCAGGAGCCAGGAGCTTCTTCCAGGTCTCCCATGTTAGTGCAGGAATCCTCCACTGCTTTCCCAGGCCATAAGCAGAGACTTAGATGAAAATGGAGCAGCCGAGACACAAACCAGTGCTCATATGGGATGCTGGCACTTTCAGGAAGAGGATCAACTATTTGAGCCATCGTACTGGCCCCAGAAGGGAATTTCTTGAACCTGATAGGATCTATAGGGAAAAAAGAAACACCACAACTCTACTGAAGGTGCCCCAGGAGCCTTCCCAGTTAGCCTGGGTTGGGATGCGCATGACTGCAGAAGCAGTGCTGGGTGTTCAGACATCCCTGACACACACGACTGTTGGAGAGACGGTTGAAATCTGATTATTTGTAGAGTTGAGCAAGTGTGCCAGATTTTCCAAAAGTATCATAAAAGCTTTTCTGTAATAAAATGCTGAAATGTGCCATAGAGATTAGCATCAGCAGTTAACGAAGCTCATGGAAGTGGAGTCTGACAAGTTATGTCTCCCAGGAGGAAGATAAATTGGCACACTGAAATGAGCCCTTTGTCAAACTGTCCTCAATGCCTACATCTCATGGTGCTGCTCTTTCCCGAAGGGGAGCAAACATCTTAACCTGAATTTGCAGAAAGAGCTGTAGCTGGAGAAAGCTACTGAACCAGCACCGCAACAGTTGGTGAAGGTCCACCAGTGCCATCGGTCACCATCAGGCCTGGGATGGACAAAAAAAAAAAAAAAAAGGAGAATTGGGCCCAGCACGGTAGCCTAACAGCTCAAGTTCTAGCCTTACATGCACTGGGATCCCATATGGATGCCGGTTCTAATCCTATTGGCCCCACTTTATATTCAGCTCCCTGCTTGTGGCCTGGGAAAGCAGTCGAGGATGGCCTTGGTACCCTGCACCCGCACGTGGGAGACCCGGAAGAGGCTCCAGGCTCCTGTCTTCGGATCGGCTCAGCTCCAGCCGTTGTGGCCACTTGGGGAGTGAATCAGCAGATGGAAGATCTTCCTCTCTGTCTCTCCTCCTTTCTATATATCTGATTTTCCAATTTAAAAAAAATAGTTTTTTAAAAATAGGAAATTTAGTCCTGCCTAGGCCTCCTTCTCTGCTTTCCAGTGATCAGAATTACGCAGACCAGAAGACAAAGGGTGTCCTTCATGAAGTCCATAAGCATCACCCTTCTAGCATATTCTGCGGGAAGGCGTTAAAGCACAGTTCATATTTAGTCCTTTCCACAAAATTGTGTAGCCCCCTCCTCTTCACATGGATGGATTTAAGTAATTTTTGCATCAAAATAAATTTGCCACTTAATTCCATGTTCCAGAAGCTCCTTGGAATGCCCTTATGGAGCATATTCATGGATTTGAAGAGTTGGTGTTTCTTTTTTTACCGACTGAATTGTACCCAACGCCAAATTCACAGCTGAAGCACTCAGAGCGTGCTCCCTGAGAGTCTAACACAACCTTGATATCGTTTTTTAAAAATGATTAAAATGAAGTCACAATCCAAGATGACAGTTGTCCCAGGAGAGGAAAACTAAGACATAGACAGTGTAGGGTGAGTGGTCAGGAGAGGGTGCTGTCCATCGGGCGAGGAGAGAGACCCCGGAAACCCGTGCCTGCTGGATCCTCACAGGGGAACACTGGCTCAATTCCTAGCTGCTTCACTGGGATCCAGCTCCTTGGTAATGTGCTTGCAAAAGCAGCAGACCCTGGCCCAACTCTGCGTGCCCCTTGCCACTCACTTGGGACCCCGGGTGGAATTCCTGGCTTCTGACTTCCATGTGGCATAGCCCTGACCGCTGCGGTCATTCGGGGACTGGACCACTGGATGGAAAATCTCCCTCTTGGTCACTCTACTTTTCAAGTTTATGAAAATAAAATTTTTTTAAAGTTTTTTTTCCACCCAAGGTCACCACATTGGCTCAGCTAGCTAATGATCCACCACTTCCAAGCACCAGCACCCCATATGGGTGTGACATTTTGTTAATTAATAAAATGCCAAATCGGCTTATGGCCTCACTACAATGTTAAACAAAAGCCCCAGTTGTTTATTTAAATAGGGTTTTTCATGTTCCCTTTAAGTAAAAGAGCAAAGGTCAAGAATAGCTTAGCCCAGAAGAGTAGCAACAGAGAAGACTTCTCTAATTAGATATATAGCACATTCCAAAGCTATGATAAGCATTTTGGCAATAGCCTGGAATAAAAGCAAAAATAGCAAAAAGAGGCAGAATAAACAGTCCATCTGCAGAGAAATCTAACAAGTGTCAAAGTTACACAGATTATTGGCAAAGAAGTATTTCAACAAATAGTGCTGACAAACAGATTATATATTTTTTGAAAGTAAGTGAAATGAGATGTTGACCTCAAACCACACACTAGATAAAATATGAAACATTTCATCATCTTGGAAGTCAAAAGTTCACAGGAGATGGTACCACCCATGTGTAGAATCTCCCTGGCCAACTTCCACCGCGCCAGACCTGCTGAGTTGGACGTTCTTGTTGTTTCATGGGATGGCTTTGTCTGCATTGTGCAGAGTCTGTGCCGCACAGAGCCATCGTAGGCAGGCTCCCAGAAGTTGCATCTGGTGGTCCTCTCTGCCATCAATCACTACAAGAAGATGCAGCTCTGAGGAGGTGGCCTGGATCTGGTTAGTGCAGGTTCCACGAATAAAGCTGCAGGGGCAGCAGCAAACTCCAGCACGCCCTCTGGCGGATGTTCCTGGAAGAGCCACCAGCAGGGTTTTCAGTAGCAGCAATGGCAGGAGCCACCAGTAGAAGTCTTCCCCAGATCCTCCTGAGATTTATGAAGTAAATGCCTTTGAAAGATGTAGTGTTCCATTTGGAAATCAGGACTGCCCGGTGCTTACCTTCCCGCACCTTGTGATCAACCGGAGTCAGCGCTACCACCTCTTCGTGTGAGGCGCACTGCGTTTCCACCTGATTCCACGCAGCGTAGCATCCGTCTCCGTGGCTTTCTCGGTAGTTTCAAAACCGTATCCTGGAAAATAATAATTATGAATAAAAATAGACACTATGCAAAAAAGAGGAAGAAGAAAGAGATCAAGGGCTGTCTTTTCTTGGCCTTTTGGTTAAGATCGAATGTGGAAACAAGGAGGCAACTTCACCATCCAGCGCCCATATTAGTGCTGTTGCTGTCCAGATACCTTCTGCAGTGTTGTTTTTTTTTAAGCCCGGTGCTCATTTTTGCACATTCTTTGGTGTGTTTCTGTTTTCTGAGTCTCATTTATTGTCCTACCCACGGAGAGCCAGTCAGCGTTTTAAAATACATTCATTAAGTTCTTTCTTTAACAACAACACCCCCCAAAACACAACAACAACAAAAAAGTTGAGTGCCAGCATATCATGTGAGTACTGGTTCTGATCATTGTGGCCATAACAGGGAATAGAACAATGGATAAAGATCTCTCTCTTCCTCTCTCTTTCACTTTATCTTTCCTTTTTTCCCCTGTAACTGTGCCTTTCAAATGGAAAAAAAGATCTAAAGGAAATTTATTTTAAAAGGTACCTGTGATTGTCTCTAGATGGTGGAATTATATAGATCTTTTATTCTCTATACTTTTCTGTAGTGTATATATTTTTGATGATTGTGTATACAAGCATCTCTAAGCAGAAAAATAATATAACTCACTGGAAAAATTATTTACTTATTTGAAATTGTAACCACGTATACCTCTATGTCTGAATTTGCTTCATTCCTGAGTTAAGATTAAACCT